ACCAGGAGCGGCGCCACAGCGCTCTCTTTAAGCCACCCCTGGCCAGCCTGCCGAAGGCCTGCTGCACTGCAGCAACGCCAAGGCACCCTTCAGCCCATTCATGGCACCTCCAGGCTGCTTGCCTGTTTGGAGCGCTGATCAGCCCCAACCCACCCATCCCTTGCCTGCTTGTGCGTGATGAGAGCACGCACGCACAAGTATGTCACAGCGACACATGAACACACACACATACACACACACACACACATGCACACTCATACGCACTTCTGCATGGTGACGCCACACTCTCTCACACATATGCACACACATGCACACACATCCCCCCCCCTGTGCCCCCAGGTCGAGGCCATTGTCAGTGGCATGACCATAGCCTGCTCTCTCGTACGGCCAGAGCAGCTGGGGTCCTGGTACCTTGCAGCATGGCCGGTGAGCGCGTGCACACGCACCAGGCAGGGCCCACAGCACCACAAGCGACCAGTCTCAGTCGCAGGCCCCGTGCTTTCCCTGTCAGCTGGGATGCCGGCTGCGCACCCCCCAACACCCCCCTTGTCGAACCCGTTAACCCCCACACCCCCACACCAGTGACGCCTCCTTCCTACCACGTTAATCACCCCCATCGCGTTCCAAAAAGGCCTAGTCCACGGCCATCCAGCCTCCACCTAGTGCCCCCAGTTTCACCGTAATTGCCATCAACCCACACTCATCCCACCAACACACCCTCACTCAACCCTGCGCAGTACTCTCCCAGCATCTCCAGCCTGTACAACGCATTCAAAGTGATACGCAGCCAGCCGCGGACGCAGGCGGCGCGCCCTCTGCCGCGCCCGCTTCGCTCGCTTAACAGCCGCGACGAGAGCCGCAGCGGGCAGGAGGAGGGCGAGGGGCTCCTCTCAGAGGCGGCCGGTGCGTCGCCGGCGCAGGGCGAGCGGGGACACGGCCAGGCCCCGCCGCCGCAGGCGCCATCGTCGTTGGCTTGAGTATCATGGCGCGCATCTAAGGGCGCGTATTTTGGGCGTAGGTGTAGCATTCTTTCTTTACTAGACTATATACTATACACCATCTACTACATATTGTGGACGAAGGGGAGGAATGCACGGGGGCGTCAGCGCGGTGACGGTCGGCGACCGCACCTTCTCTCTGTTTTTTTTTCTGGCGGCTAGTTGCACTGCCTCTATTTTCCGTGGACACGCACACGGGAAGCACCAGCGCTGCGGCTATGAGGGTGTGGGCGGCGCAGGCGCCCCTTGGAAGCGCCCGCTGAACACGCACCCGCGCACGACACTTGCACCGAGCTGCCGGCAGTCGACGGCATTTTCTCTGCCCCTTCTAGCTGTGGTTTCGGGGGTCAAGCACTGCCGTGCGAGTCAACGGCACACGAACACACAACCCGGCGTCGGCACTGCATTCAACACGCTCATCGTGCCTCGGGCTCCTCACTCACTGCACGCAAGGTCGCGCGATCGCGCCCAGCTCGCCACACTGCCTGATCTGTCCGCACGTCCCCGCCCCACAACCAAGCGGGGGCGTCTCCTGAAGACAACGTTGAGGGCTATGCACTGGAACTCCCGCGCCGGCGCACACATCGCCCGCGCAAAAGGCATCTGATATCGCACCCCGCATCTGTGTCGAGCGCTTTGGCCAGCGCCATACTGCACTCTGGACAAGGCCCCCTCCCACCTCGTCGGCTGGACTGAAGGTCTTCCTTTTTTTACTCGCTCTGCCGGCAGTACGGTCGGCATGAAAGCGTCAAGTTCGTCTTCGCGCCGGTTCCGGGCAGGGGTTCCGCCCGGCCCGATCCCCCGGCCCCGCCTGTCTGGCGGTGCTCGTTTCGTGCGCGCCCCGCCGTCGCCGCCCGCTGCTGCTGCACCTTGCGGCGCTACGGGCGGCTGCGGGGCGCCATGCTTCCTGCGTATCAATTTGTAGGCTCAAGCAGCGGCATTGCCTGGCCACCGCGTTGCCGAGCTTGCTGGTTTGATGTTAGATACTGCTTGAACGGGGTCATTTGTTTCCAGGCCCGCACTCTCCATTCTGTCCGCCACTTGGCGTATTGCCACCCCCCACAGCGAAGCCAACCTGCTGCGCTCCGCATCAAGTCCTCTGCACTCGCCGCTCGACTCGGGATTGCCAGCTTGATCGCTGACCATGTCGCACAAACTGCACACTGCGTTCTAAGGGTATCATGGGCTGCGGCTGTATATCGTGTGCCCCAGGGGCACGCACAGCCCCCACCCCTGTGCATCGCAATCGCCGCTCCTCGACTCCCCCATCAACAGCTCAACCCCTCCTCATCAATTGTGCCGTTGGGTTGTCCTGTAGTCGGTCACTGCAAGCCTTGGCACAACAAGGACTGAACCGTGGTGTTACAACAACTCTGACCCCACAACACCAGCCCCACGCTCGCCCGGCGGGGACGGCAGACGCATCCCTGTGGGCACTGGCAACCCCGTTGGGCCCCCAGAACCTCTGCGGTGGCAGCACCTCAGCCCCAGCTGCCAGTGCAGGGGCAGGCACGTGGATCAAGGGCCCAGGGCTTTGGACACCCCGGGTGTGACGCATACTCCGATGGCGTTTCCAACAATGCCCCAGAAGACAAAGGGTCGTGGCGCTGCTGGCAGCGGTCGCAGCATGCGCGGCCAGCTCTGCTGTGACCGTTGTGAGTCTGCATGCTTTGTCGGTCCCATGGAAAAAAGAACTGTGGCAGCGTCAATGTCCTGAACCCAGCCCGTCCTGAGTAACCCTCACCCCGGCCCCGGGACACACGGCCAACGTTGGAACACCCAAAATTTGTGCGGCGCTCGCCGCGCCGCGCCAACACGCAGCCGGCGCGCCTGCACACAAGCACGCACGCCCCCGGCGCGTCCGTCGCCGAAGCGTGGAGGGTGGCGCCAACGGCCTCCCAGCGCGCCCCCAACCCCATGCGCACACAGCCCCTCCCCCCTCTCACGCGGCCGCCACCGGCTGCATCGCGGGCGGCGGTGAGAAGCAGCCAAAGAGGCCCCCCAGGAAGCCCTGCCCCTCCCCAGCGCGCGGCGACCCCCCAACCGCCGCGCCGCCAAGCTTGCGGCCGCCCGCCCCCGCGCGGCCCGCGGCCAGCGGGCCCTTTGGCCCCGACAGCTCCGGGCTGCGGCTGCAGAGGGGCGCGGGCGGGTGGCCGGGGGCGGCCGCCAGGCATGACTCGTCGAGGCCCAGGGCGGGGCCGGCTGCGCCCTGCAGCGCGCCCGCGGTGACCTGTCACAAGTGTGGAGAAGCGGGGAATGGGTGGTTGGTGTTGGCGGTCAGCCGTCCGATTTGTGCGGAGACGAGCAGGTGGGCTGAGGGTATCAGGGCTGAGTTCCAAAGTCGACAGAGCGCCGTTGATTAGTTGAGATGCGACTTGCTGCACTTCCACTCTCGTGGCTCCGCCCGACAATGAAAGACCCCACAAATGCAGCCCAACAGCCGCGCGGGCACGTACGCATGACACAGGCCCGGCACCCTCTCACGTGCGCCGTGACGTCGCTCGAGTGCTGGCTGCTGATGGGGGCGCCCCGCACCGCCAGAGCCAGGCCCGGCGCCGCGGTCGGATGCTGCTGCGCGCCCCGTGCCGCGAGCGCGGCCGGGCCCGAGCTGCCCTTGCCGCTGCCGAACAGTGCGCGCTGCTTGGTCATGGGCCCGAAATCCGGGGAGGAGGCGCCGCCGTCCCGCGCGTCCGCGTCGCCGTCAGCAGTGGGTGCGGGGGTGGACGCCTTTGCCGGGCGGCGCCAGCGCAGGGGGCTGCCCTTCTTGGCCGCGGCCGCCTCCCTGCGGCGTCGACGAGGGCGGAAGGGTGGGGCCAGGGTGGAGCCAGGGGGAGTGCGTGTGGCGGGGTCGGGTGGTGTTGAAAGCCGAAAATTCCGCTGTCCTGGTAAGCAGTCAGCCGGAGGTGGTCCATATTCCAGCCCTCGGGCACGGCACACTCCAGACCCTGCACCCTCTCCCCGCCGCCCCTCTGACGCCACCACTCGTGATCGCCGGCACACGCGCCCACACCTCATCAGGGGGGTGCTAGCTGTGCAATGGAGTGTGCCGCGACTCCCCTGCTTCATGCGTACACACAATTCACACACACACACACACACGCGCGCGCGCGCGCGGTAAACACACACGTGCGCGCGCTCACACACACACACACATAGCATTGTACCCATACCCACACCCCTACGCCTGCCTCGCCCCCCTCCCGCACACACACACACCTTATGGACCCCAGTTCTGCCGCCAGCTCATCATTGCGCGCCTTGAGGGTCTCACGCAGGTCAGCACTGGACCTGCATGTGTGTGTGTGTGTGTGTGTGTGTGTGTGTGTGTGTGCACGCGTGCAGGCGCATACAAGCATGCATGTGCATGGTTGTTCGCATTCGTTTGGGGGGGGGCCAGGTAGACGGGGCATGAGTGAAGGCGCATGGGGAGGGAGTGGTGTGGGCATGCATCCACCAGCAAGAGGGTCCATGACGCAGCAGTGGTGGCGCAGCGTGGATGGATGGCGCCTCTGTGCACGAGCAAAGGCGTGCCCCTGCGCTCCAGATAAAACAGCATGGCGACGCTCCAAGTGGAAGGTAGTGGATTACATGTGTGCGTGTGCTTGCTGGTGCAGCAGTGAGGCGCACCTCAGCTCCGCCGCAAGCCCATCGCGCTCCGCCTGGCTGCGCTGCTTGTCGGCCGCCAGCGCCTCGCCGCGCGACAGCGCGCGCTCCAGCTGGCACTGGGGGCCGGGGGGCAGGAGGGGGCGGGCGAGGGGGGTGTGAGGTTGAGGGTTGGATGTCATGAGGTGCAGTGCAAGAAGTTGGACAGCCGCCTCAAAGGGGCACATAGGGGTCCAACAAACTCGAAGGCCGCGGCTGCGGCTACGCGCCGACTGTGCGCCAGCCCGCCTTCGCGGGCCGCCACACCTCACGTGCGCTCATAGCTGCCTTACACCCAGAATCGCACAGACAGCCCAACCCGACACTTCCACCCATCCTCCCATTCACCCGTGCATGCACACGCGCATGACCCCAGCCTCACCCTATGGCAACCCTGGGCCCTCGCCCCCCCCCACTCACTGCCACCCAACCAACTAAAAAACCAAACAACCTCCCACCAGCAGCTCGGCGTTCTCCCCCTGCATCCTGCTGAGGCGCGCCTCCGCCTCGCGGCCCTCGTCCCTCAGGGCCTCCGCCTGGCGGCCGAGGTCAAGGTTCTCCTCCTGCAGCAGGATCTAGGCGGTTGGGAGCGGTTGGGAGCGGTTGGGAGTGGTGGTTGGTGTTGGGGAAGAGGGCAGTGGGGCTGGGGGTGGTGCGGGTGGGGGTTGATGGAAGTTGATGGGGGGCAACAGGGTGGGTTCAGGGCGCTAAGGAGATGGGGCAAAAAAAGAATGATGAGGGGGAGAAATGCTAGAGCGTGTGTGGTCCTCAAGAGGATGTGATCGCCGCGCAAGGGGGGGTCAGGGTAGGGTTGGGGGTCACCAACACTGCAGATAAAGGACCGTGGAAGGCTCCCGGTGGCGGACCGGCTCAGAGGACAAGCGGGAGACTACAACTGGCAGAGAGGGTCACGAAAACGCGGGGTTCATGCTCTGGCCGCCACCACAC